TGAATTTTTATATTTTCCATCCTTACGTAATTGCAGTCGTAGTTCCTTAGATTTTCTTAAAAGAAAAAAAAAAAAAAAAAAGGTTCTTTTTTTTTTTTGGGGGGGGGGGGGGGGAATAATATCCATCGGTGCATTTTTGTGCATTTTGTGTTTTGGCATGATGAATAGCAGTTAATGTGGAAAATTGGTAAGGTCCTATTATCACCGAATTTTGTACGTATTTTGTTGTAAAAATAGACAAAAAATTACTGGTGTGATAAAAAATAGTCAGTAGGGAAAATTGGTGAGATTCTATTGTTCAATTAGTATAAACTCCTTGCATTCTCGATAAATTTAGACAAATGCATTACTATAATATTACTATAAAATTAACAGTAATGTGAAGCATATCTATAGTTGAATATCCTCAGAAAAAAATGGTCTTTTATTAATTATAAGTCCATGTTTTTAATAAATTTCTGTGGCGAATATTATAAAGAAAAAGAAAAATTGCTAATTAAAAAGTTGCAGTTTTACATTTCTTTTCCAACTTCTAAAGTAAAAATTTTAATAAATATCGAATCTTAGTTAAAACTCGATTATACTCGTGCATTATATCGATGCGCTTCGATATTACGAGGCGTAAAAAGCAATTAATTAACCGTTATGGCTGATGATACGAAATAAAATTAAAATAAAAGGCTGAAGTATCGTTTCCATCGCTATCTTGACGCGTAGCCGACGTAACGTCAGGTAGGATAAAGAATCTCTTTGAATACGTTCCCCATTGGATTTAAGATCTTTATGGATCTTTTCATCCTTTGACACGATATAGGTGCGCGAGGAACGAAGTCTTTTGAAGGATTCAATTGCTGTTATAGGTTTTTCGGCGAATTGTATAGAAAGAAAAAGATGAGAGGCATGAGTTATGATTTTAATACTTTTTCGTATCAATGGCTACGGTGAAAAAAAATATTTGTGATGTAGTAAATTTTCAAAACATTCTCTTAATAATAATAATGATGATGAAAATAAATATAAAAATATCCTACAAATAATAGTAATAATAATTCTCAGCAAGTCAAATTTCTTCCCGATGACAAATTTTCTACTTTCCTTTAACAATTGTAGTTCCTTCGAGGATAACGAATAATTGTTAACAAATTCAAAGTTCCTACGTCAAAATTGGAATTAGAACTGCCAATGACTAAAGCATAAACTTTCATCAGAGACATTAAAGTATAATAGAAAAATTTTATAATACAATGGAGTTCACACAAGCTTTTATGAAAGGTCATTCAAATTTCCAAAATTATGCTGTTTTACATCTGTGACTATAAACTAATAAATTTTGACCACCTTGGTAATTTTTTGTCAGCGGTATTAATGGCATTAAACGAAAATATAGTAAAAATATGGCACTAAACAATAATTATTTCTTATATATGTACATACATCTACAGTGTTCAAAGGATTAAATTAAATCGTAATCCAGGCTTTTCAAATTTTCAAAAATTCTGACTGTCATAATACAAATAATCTTCCCACACGATCATGCTCCATATATTCAAATTATTTGACTTAAACTTAACATCGCGTTAAAAAAAAAACCATTAAACGGGCACTTAGCACAGAAGCGAGTGCGATGAGGGGAAAAACTGTCGGCCAGAAAAAGTGGCAAAAGCAAATGGCACTCCGGCGAGTGTCGGAGCAGAGAAGGAGAGGACACGAAGAGGAAAAGGTAGAACGCGTACACGCGCGGCGTGTGGTCTCTCGTGCTCCGTATCCGTATCGTGCCTCTAATTTTACAAACCGCCAACACCAGTGCCCCAGCCTGCCGTTTTCGTCGAGGAACAACGGGGCCTCGCTCTATTGATTTAGATGTTCCGCTGATCTAAAGTGGTACCTGACAGAGATAACGATAATAACTGTCTGCCTCTCCCCCGGCAGTAATTGTTTACATGCTTTTCGACGATTAACCCTTTGCGGTTCTCTGTCCAACTGTGTATCGTAGACCGGATTCGTCATGTCCTCTGTTATTTAACATTAGAACTACCGAAATGGTTAAAATGATCAAATTTAGAATTTTTCATGGAAATTTCATAAATTTATAGTATTATATAGTGCTTTCAGAGACTCGAATGATCTTCAGTAAAATATATAAACGGAAGCGTGTGCCCTTTGTCGTATTGTAATAAATATTTTCCGGCTCTTTTCATTTTCGTTTCTCTGCAAATTTTACACTTCGATCGTCGGCAGTGTTAACCGTTTCATTCATTTATAAAGATAAATTAAACTCTAGACTCCAGTAGAGTTTAAAGCTGGAGCTGTTCAAATTGAAAGTATTTTTTCTATTGAAAAAAAATTTAGAACTTTTGTCTCTCGCAAAGAAAAAAATAACGATAATATGTTCCACAATATTATAAAAAGAATCGTATATTGCCAAAAAAATTGGCAATCAGCTTTGACTTCGGGAAAGGAAAAATATTAATCGTAGCACTAAACGTGTAAAATAATGGAAAAGAAAAGAAAAGATAGTCACACACGCTTCAAGCAGCATTAACGAAGCATTGCAGCAGAGAATCAAGACATTTTCCGCTATTTGTTGAAACAAACCGCGATATAACCGAGCGTTGACTGGCCGTGTGGAAAGCGCGAACGCTTCGAGAAGTGGTTAGACGTTCTGCTGAAACCGTCAAAAGGATTTACGGCTGCGGCGTGGTCTTTAATCTCGAAGAAACCGCCGTGCACTTCGCGGCGTTCAACTTCGTGAATCCGAGAGCTGACGTTCGCACAGGTGCTATTGATTTAGACGTCCGTTCCCGTCGATCGATCGACTTAATTCAGGAATCGGCGCATAAATTGCCGAGTCCGAGCCCGAAAAGGGAGAACAAAACGCAAGCAGGTTTTACACAAACGCGAAGAAAACTGAAATCACGGCTGTCATTAATATTCGAACACCCAGAGAGATGCTGCAGAGAGATCCAGAGCTTATATTACTTTGCATTGTTTCTTCAGAATATGATGTTGCATATGTATTATCGAATTAATGTGCGAAACTACAATAAATAAAATTTGTTTCGATATTCTTCTTTGAGGAATTATTATTTGAAATTATCATTGTTACGTCCTATTATTTTACTTCTCCTTCGATAAATTACGTACAATATACAAGGTTAACTACTTTGATTTCGCTATTATTTGTTCATGCACGTTAAATAAATAAAAAGTGAGTATTTCCATCGAGTACTTAAAAACTGTCAAAACCAATTCGACAAATTTCTCTCGCACCGGGGTGCTGTAATATTAATAATATCCACATAGAGACCCGCGTTTATAAAATTAACCCATCGATTATTGCAAAATCGCAGAAAACTAAAAACACTCGCGAAATTGCGACGAACGAAAGAAAGTCTCGAAACGTTGGAACGTGAGGCGCGCGCGATCACGTGGTCGCGGTGATACCACGGCGTCGACCGGAGAACGGTCGACAAAGAGGGTTTCCGGTACGGACGTTGGACCAACGCGAGAGGCGAACGACGCTCGAAAACGAAAGGAAGTATCCCGTGGACGGTGTTGGTCACAGGCTTTCGTTTAGCTCGGGTGGGACGGGACATGTCAAAGAACTTAATTTCTTCGCGGCGGACCCTAATTTCTCCGGTGTTTTAGTTTAGTATAGGTTCAGCTGGCACGGCTGTAATCAGGGGGGCCTTAATGGCGGGTTGCCGAGCCCGGCGTGTGAACTGTGGGCGTGAACCACTCGCTTCCTATCTTCGGTATCTGACGTGCAGCACGTGCTCGACTGGGCGAGACCTTCTTGCCGCTATTAAGAAGCGTGCTCCGTAACATTAACCCCGCCGTCTCCTCCGCCGACATCGTCGTCGATTCCTCTCGTCGATAAGAAGCCGCGCGTCCCGAGGAATTTTCAATTCCTCGTGCCTCGCGTGCCACGCGGTGAAGAACCGCCGGTCTCTCCGTAATTAATTCCACTGCGCGTATTAGACTCACACGGCGAACCGTGATCGAGAGATCTTCCGAAAAGATCATCCTCCCTGGCAGGATTCTTCGTTCTCCAGAGATTTTTACGATCATTCCGGACGAATGATTTTTAACCTTTGAACAACTGAGATGTTTGTTACATATGTTGAATCGTGGATGTTTGTGAAGGTCCTCTTTTGGGAATATAGTCTTTAAAAATTTATTTTTGAGAGATTTTTTACGTATGAACGAAAGATTTTTATTTTTTGAATGATTGAGGTGTTTGTTGCAATTAGTTTATAGATTTCTACGAAGGTTCTTTTTTGGGAAAATAGTCTAAAAAAATTTATTTTTTAGGGGATTTTTATTTCCGAACGAATGATTGTTATCCTTTAAATAATTAATAATTGAGGCGTTTATTATAATTAAATCATATTGTTAGATCAGAATGGATTTTTATGATGGTTCTTCTTTGGATACCTTTAGATATATTTGTAATATTGGAATTTGGATAAAATTGGAAGATTGAACAATTTGGACAGTTTTAAATCTACTCGACACTCTTCGTTTCTCAAATTCTATTTTGTTGATTAACACGTTTGTTTTGTGTTTATTTCAGGAGGGAGCAGCGGCGACGACTCGGACACGGAAAGCGAGCCAGGAATTGCGTTGAAGAGGAAACAGCGTAGAAGTAGGACTACGTTCACCGGCGAACAGCTTGAACAACTCGAGGCAGCTTTCCATCGGACACAGTATCCCGATGTGTACACCAGAGAAGAATTGGCTCAAAAGTACGTGGACAATTTAATTTCACTTTGCTGGTTTGTACGAAGCGCAATAATTGATCCGTATTGTCAAATCGTGCAGCGAGGAGCATAATTGTACCAATGACAATAACTACCGATAATAACTTCTGACTAAAAAAATATCATATAACGATCCATTCGATTCCATTCTAAAGCGTGAAGTTTGTACTCTGACAATCAACGAGTGTGTGGGAAAGTTAGGATACCCTTTCTTCGAAAATTTTAAAAATTCAAACGCACGTAAGAACATTAAAAAATTTCTTTCGTGACCAAATCCACTGTTATTTTGAAGGTTGAAGTTTCCTCTTTACGAAGAACCTTTAAACTCAACTACACGACTTTTCATTGCCATCATAACATTAACATTAAGATTAGATGACAAAGATTTTTAAGATTTCTTGAATTTTTGTCACAATTCGACGTTTAATAAAATGGTGGAAAAAAGTTTCAAAGGATTGTCACGATGGCGGATCTAGTTTATTAGTTGTAAAATCGTTTTCGAAGAAAAAATGAACTCAAGTATATATAACCTAAGTATATATAACCTATTCACGCTTTCGAAGTGGATCGTTACACGATCTTTTTTCCACGAAGTTGTACAATTTTTCATTGCTGTTGGTTATGTTCTTCGTTTCTCTAGTCATTCGCGAAAATTTGCACACGATTTCTATTTGTTTGTCAGAACATTTGTTCGTTGTCATTAATTCCTCCGATCTCCGTTGCAGAACGAATCTAACCGAGGCACGCGTGCAAGTGTGGTTCAGTAACAGACGAGCCAGGCTTCGCAAGCAATTAAACAGCCAACAGTTGAACGCTTTTAACACAATGAGCTTGCAGTCGTTTCAAACGCAGCACTACGGTAGCAGCGCCGAGAGTTACCAGAGCTACGGCCAGGCATCGGTGGCTGCAGCCGCAGCAACCACTGCCAGTTATTCTCAACATTACAACTATAGCGAGAATTACTACGCTGCTCAGCAACAATGGCCGAGACCAACCGCGGAGAATTATGGGTAAGAATTATATCATTTATCAGAAACTTTTATCAATAACAAAAGGCAATTTGTTGCCTTCGTTGCTGCAGAAATTTCGTGAAACTGTATCAAAAGGCGTGGCGCTCCATTTTTTGTAAATACTCGTCCTTGGCTTTCTCTTTGATAAGAACAAGTTCCAGCTTATGATCTTGACTCTAATTTTTTTGAACTTAATTTGTTCCTTGCTGTCAAATTGACAGAATAGAATAAAATAGGAGATAAATTGTTAAATTTTGCAGGTTCTTTCGTTAATAGCAAGAAATTTAAATTTCTATTCGGTTGCATCGTTCCATAATTAAAAGTAGAAGGTAATTTCCTATCTGTTCAAGAGAAAACGTTATTACTCACAACTCGGACGACGTGTTTTATTATCGAAAATGTCAGAAACGTACGTGGGAGAAATAAATGTTGCATAGCTGTGTCTACGAGTGTCTGCAAAGTAGCATAACATTTCACGACAGAAATCTGTGAAATTGGAGGGTTAGAAAATGATCGAAACCGGGGGGTGGTTCCGTGCTTTTCTAAAGAATTGTTAAGAAGTTATTGAAACACGATGCTGTGCAACGTGAGTCGCAAAAATGTTAATACTGCGAGGCTCGAGAGGTCGAAGGACCCCCCACGAGGTCCAACGTCGAAGCAAAGTGCACGTTGTCGGGATAGAGATACATTATCCCGGACCGTTTAAAGCGGCCGAGCTTTGGCAGAAAAAAGGAAAGAAATCCAGCAGATAGTCGATCCAGAGAACGGAAGAGAGAGAGAGAGAGGAGGCAGCCGGTGCTCTCGCAGGGTGTTTCGAACAATTAATTCAGCCATTGTGGCGTAATAACAGGTTGGCGAAATACTCGCCTGCTGCAGCGTGCTGTTACTTACACGCCGAGTGCGGAGGCCGATTCGCTGCGACGCAGACCGCAAACGACCAAAGTCCCCGGAAGAAAGATGAACAAGCAAACTGCAGAGTGAAATTGAATGTGGAATCTGGAAACTGGGAAGAGAGAGAAGAGAAAGAGTGAAATTTTCTGCGAGGTTCACTTTGATTATTGAACAGGCGCATATTTAAAAACAGGTGTCATGTTTGGGAATGTGAATGTTTGTGCAACTTGTGGAAAATGGGAAAATTCTTAGCTAGTAAAGAGATATGTGAAATATCTGAAGTATAGTGGTTTAATGGGCAAGACAATTTTTTACTTAAAAATAAATTAATTAATTTTGAAACTTTTTATTTCATTCATTCTTAATGCTGATCTCTCTACGATGGGAAATAAAATCAAATTGCCTAAAAGGCAGCAAGAAACAACTGAAATGCGGTTTTTTATAGAAGAACTTCCTTTCTTCTATCGAAAGTTGCAAAAAGAACTTGAAAATTACAAAAATCGATATGAAAATTGGATATTGGCTATGAAAATGCTTTGAATTTTACACAAATTTATCTTCCTATACATAGTAAGAATTTTATTTTATTTCCGCGAATTATGAATCCAACAAACGATCTCAGAATCTTCGAAGCAACAATCTATCACGCACCACAAACGAAAAAATCCTCCTCCCTCCCCCAAAAAATAAAGAACCAACGAAAACAGAAGAATTCGCGAAGAATCGATTCGAACTGTCAAAAGTGCGAACCGTAGAAGCGATCGTCAAAGAAGAGAATCGGTGGAAAGAGCGGGGAAAAAGAAAGAGGACAGAAAGGAACGAGCGAGACGAAAGATTCTCCGAGGAGTGTGTGTGTGTGAGAGAGAGAGAGAGAGAGAGAGAGAGTTGGCTCGATACGGCGAAGCAGACGGGACCCCACCGACACGTTTTCTGTGTGGTCCTCAATTATGTTGCTCCACGGCCCCCGTAATGAAACGCTACCGGCTAATAATCCAACGTGGGTCTTGATCTTCGCCGATGATCCAGCTTTAACCGGCGGGGCCCCTCTCTCTCTCTCTTTTTCTCTCTTTCCCTTCTTCACTCCGGAAGCGCCTCGACCTCCATCGCCACAGTTTTGTCGACCGACGAAATTCCAGCGACAAACGCTGTCGTGAGCATTTCTCATCCATTAATATCGGCCGAAACCTCGCGAGAGACAAAGTTTCGCCACAGGCAAGAAATTACGCGCCACTCGATCTCTCACGATCGGCCAGATATCGAACGGTCGTTCGAATCTCGCGGCGCGCCGTTTTTATGGATTCCATTTGCGTTTATACGCGCATCGATGATCGTCGATGTCGTTTTCTTTTTTTTTTTTTAATGGAAACGAGAGATCGCAACAAGGTCGGAGTTTCTGCTCTTCGTTTGGATATTTACACAGAAGTTTAAATTGGGAGAGACAGTGGCACGTAGTTTTGGTTGGTTTGGATGAAATTTTTTAACGAACGGGGGCTCGAAGAGCAAAACAACGATCGGATTAACAATTCGAAGTGACGTAGGAAATTTTGAAGAGATTAATTCTATCTTTTGCGTATCCTTGAGTGTTGATCCTTTCGCAACATTGGAAAACAAAAATTAGACGCAAGTTAGTCGGGCGATTGAACCATTTTTGTGATTAATTTGAAATGCATCCTTCGTCATTGGGAGGAATTCGCTAATTTTCACAGTCTCTGATAAATTCGTTTCGTCGATGAGTAAAATCTCTCGCTGCAAAGAATTTGACAACAACTCGATCGACCCGCTACGAGGATCCGAAGCTGAGCCATTCGCGAGACACGAAATACGCCTTCGCCCCGACGTCCCTTAATTTCAGCAAGCGTCGATTATAAATTACTCGCTCGGGCTGAGCCACGCTGGAATTCATTAACACTTCCATAGAGCTAAATGTGATTTGTAGCCGCGGTTCGCTAGGGGGAAATAGATTCGTAGAGCGCGGGCACGCGGGGACAGTCGATAAATCGTGGAGCTTCCGCTGTGCCGTTTCGTGGAAGGAATTAAGGGACGACCAGGACCGAGAACAGGACGAGAACGAAGACGCGCGAGGAACAGAGAGAAAAGCGAAAAAGGAAGAAGAAGAAGAGAAAATGAAAGCGCGCGCGCGCGCGCGCGCGCGCGCGTGTATGTGTGTGTGTGTGTGTGTGTGTGTGTGAGAGAGAGAGAGAGAGAGAAAGGAGGGAAAAGGAAAAGAAAAAGAGAAAGAAAGAGAGGAATTAAATGGTCGGAGCATCGGCACGCTTTAGGGTCCTTAACCGTGTGCTGCTGTGCCGAAACGGTCAAAAGGGCCGCTACTCCGTTTTGAAATCGGTTGTTGGCAGCCTCGACACGCCCTAAACGATTCGTACTCGTGCGTGTGCGAGCGTGAAGCTCTCTCGCCGCGTTGCCCCGGTATCGGTTTGCAAACGAGCCCCAGCGAGCTTTGATTGCACGGCGAAACGAGAGAAAGAGAAAGACGCGGCGGTTACTTTGAGACTCGCGAGAAAACCAAAAGAGAATTCTGCATCTACAGGTTATGCGCAACGTGAAACTACCCTGCTGCCTTTTTTCTGCTGTCTTTCTCCTTTTTCATTTTAATATCCTCGATACGGTCGCGATGGTCGTCGACCCGCTTCACATTCGGTGTAAAATCCGTATAAATTCGCTGCTCTCAACGTCGCTGATCTCTCGCAGTGCTCGCGACCCGCCTTCGTCTCGTCCCGCCGATTCGTTTAATACGCCACCGATCGCTCCGCACGGTGGAGAGGTTTCTTTTTTAATCAGAACGTGCGATAATTGGCAGACGTTGTGAAAGAGTTTCGTAAGGGTTCGATTGGAATGCAGTTTTAATACGCAGATTCTGTTAATCCGTGTTATGTTGGCCAGAAGATAACGTTTTCAACCTCTCCGTGCAAATGAAAGGCGAATTTTTGAGTCATCATCTTGTTCGATTCATCTTTCAAGCAACTGTGCGTTATCGTTTTTTGGTAAAAAAAAATTTTAAGAACGTTAATAGCGAGAATTCTCGTTGGTAGTGAAATTTAGCGAGCCAATTTTGACGCTGCTGTGATTTATCAGATAATTTTTCGTGTACTTTCCTTTTCGAAAGCAGTACAGCAAAATACGACGAATATGTTCCTCTTTGATATTCCATTTTGAAATCGACAATTGCTAACCGAAATCGTGCATTTTCTCTTCCTGAAAGAAGCTCCAACAATTAGATATCATATTACACAACGAATTTGCATTTTTTAAATCACATTTTAAGATAGACATATTTGTCCATCTATTAGGAAGAAAAAACGCAATTACTTTTTGGTCAATCCAACGCCATCGATGAGAAACTTCTCCGTGTTTACTTTTTGTCGTTGTCGTTTTAATTGGAGTATCAGGTTTTTAATTAGGAGATGTGGAGGAATTTTATCTTCTCGTCTGTAAATAGAACACGTATGTTCATTAATAACGATGTTATTCGATTCTGTAGATGAAGATCAGTAATATGCGACGATATGGGACAAAAAATATTTTTTTAAAATCGCATGACTGAATAAAAATATCGAAAAAGATCTATTTGCAAAATTTTATACTACCTACACTATGCCATTTTCTAAATACCTAACAAATTACTATAACTCGGACTCATTTTACATCTCTCTACGTCTCCCTTGTATTTTTGTTCTTGTCTTTAATCTACAGTGAACGAGACACAGTACATGTATCTAACGCAAACGATTTCTCAACGAAGCAACTTCACCATCGCTCACGCGCAATTATGCATAAATTTCTTCTCTCTCTGATACAGAAGTCGGGGACCGTGATTACGAGAGGATCAACTTCGTGCCTCTTCTCGTCCTTGAACGAATACTCGACGGAAACAGCCACTGCCGATCGTCGTTTTCATTTTTTTCTTTTTCTTTTTCTGTCGTAGGTTGTTCAACGCCTCTCACTACGGCAGCAGCAATCTGGCTTCTAATCTGACTTCCAGCAACTTGAACCTGGGCAGCCTGAGCGGTAGCGTCAGCCCCACAGCCTCGAACATGAGCGCGTGCATGGTCCAAGGCGCGTCCTCGGGGGTTCCAACCCCGGCAGGGATAAACCACCACGTGACGCCTCACAGCCCCAGCGAGGCAAAGAGCGGCTACCCTTATTTAGGGGGAATCGAGTCGCAGGTCTGCGGCAGAGTTCACTGAACCGGTGGTGAATCACGATCAAAATGGCGGAGATGAAGAAACTTGAAATTAAACGATTGAATTCCATTCGAGCACAAAGAGAAAGTTGCTCGAAAGAGAGAGAGATGTTGTAAAATTTGTAAAATTGTAGAAATTTGTCTGTTTGGGAGAAAACGTGTTCGAGAAGAAGACGAGAGTTTCGGGGACGGAAACTCTCTTTTGTCGGTTCAACGCTGTAAGAGATTCTAATGAGCTTTAAAAATATGCGTTGAAGTGACTGGCCATTTTCTGTGGTGGTATTCGTTAGAAATTTCCTGGAAGATGCAGCGTTACTTTTGCAAGGAAGTGTTAGCGGCTACTTTTAACACCGAGTGATATAAATATTAAATTCGTAGCACGCTGCTCCACACGGGAAATCAAATTGCAATTCTGTACGCGACGATACGCGAATGTGTATATATAACTATAATGCTATTGCCGGTTTTTGTCGCCTTTTTTCTTTGTTTGTTTGTAGAGATTTTAAAGTCGAAGCCGAGTTAAAGACTTGTCAAACGACGAGATGTACATATCTATCGATTTATTATACGCGACACAAAGGATAGTCCTTGCAGCTATTTTCATTGTTAGAAAGAAAACGCATTGAAATCGCAGTCTCGCGCAATGTGTTTCAAAGTAAATATTTAAATATTTAAAGATAACAAGCGTAACGTAAGATGTACTAACAATCGTGTGCCTTAACTTTGTTTTCTGCGAGAATATTAAAACGCACGTAGTTGTTTAATAAACAAGTTGTTAAGAAGTCGTAAAGTTTATTGGTAAGGTGCACGTACTATCCATTATCCTCTGCGAGTTCAATTCGCTCTTCATTCTTCACTGTTTCAGGGAGATCTATCGATCATCGATCCAAGATACTAAATAAATCCTCCCGGAGAAATTTAAATGTAATCGAACACCAAGAACAGAACTTTAAGAAAATTAAGATTACAATTGAATAAAATTGAATAAAATTAATTCCCAGACCTTCCAGAATTTCCAACCTTTTTCACGAAAGTCAAAGTCATCATTCGTTGTTATTTCCTTCCCTCAACGTAACGTGAAACTTACGAACTGATAATCCTTGTAAATACATCGTTTGATATCTAATGTAGAGATACATGTTACAATAAAGTAAGTTAAAAAATGCCAACGAAATAAAGTATATACTACATATTGACACGCATAATTTTCAGGTCGCACGGCGTCGGAAAGAGTTCATTACTGCATTTATCATTTAACCAGCAGTACACTTAGTGTTTCTCAATATTTTCGACATTTAATAAGAGTCCTAAACAAACGTAGATGTAAATTTGAACAAACAACACGTGTTCTTTCACTAAATACACAGTAAGATTAAAAATTTTACGAAGTTTCTAAGCAGTTCAACATTTTTGTGATTGTTTAACAACTACTCAGGCCATGAATAAATCCAACGTCTTGCAACTGCCTGTTTTCTCTTGCAAATTAGAGTGATCGTCGAAGGACTTGGTAAGAATTTTTATTTTGCGTAGATAATATTCGTATGTATTTAATAAGAGGAAGTTACAGTGTCTGTTTAATTGGCCAGTTGATTAAAATTGCCCTGTGCAAGAACGATTTCGTTCGATTGTAATTCGTTAATTATAATTGCCGATGTATGGTTCACTGTTGCGAAATAAACATTTTAAAGAAGTACGAAGTTACGATGATCCTCTTTATTAATCTTCTTGACTAATTCGAACAGAAACAAGTTTGTGAATGTATAAATCATCTTTATTGACAAAAGTAAATGCTCTGAAATTACCATCGTTCGTAATGATATGTTTCATTTGAAAGTCTCAAGAACAGAAATTAAATATTAAATTTTCAAGGAAATTCGTGCAGTGAATACTGATCAAAAAAAACCGATAACGATGTCACAAATTTAATTTTCATTGAGACTAATGTAGGCTACAAAAAGAAAAAAAAAGAAACGACCCATGCTACTTTTTCCTTACTTATTTTAAGAGTAGCTAAAACAGCTCGATAGGACCATCCAAGACCCATTCAGTCCATCGCAGAAGTAGAAAGAGATAGTCACCAAAAAAGAAGAAGAAGACGAAGAAAGAAAATCTAAAGGATGAAAGGCGTCGATGAAAATTAGTACGTGTACAGGCGTGTCGTTGCAGGTCAAAAGTATGAAAAAAACGTAGGGAATAGTTCCGGACACTTTGTGCGATACCTTTGTACGAGGGAGGGAAAAAGCGGGAAGGCCGACCACCTACTTCGACGGCACAATGGGCCACAAATGCGTGGCGACAGCAGCAACAGATATACGGCAGGCTGATTGCTCGTTGTCGCCGAACGTCCGATTGTCGGCTCTCCTCTTCCGCCGAGAGAAATCTCCGCGTTGCCGAAAGCCAGTGTCTCTGGCACTCCGGAGTTGATCAGCGTGCCGGTCTGCGCGACCGAATCGGGAGCGGGGCCGTTTTAATGTAATTTAATGGCCGCGCCCACGCGGTGCCAAACGAGGTCGAACTATTAGGGGAGAATACGATGTTTCGCGGGCCCTAATTTTCCGTCAGATCGCGAACGAGCGTGCGAGAAGTCCAAACAGAGAGGAACGAGTAGACTGTGGATTTGTAGAAAACTTGGGGATGCGAGTAAACGAATAAAAAGATAGAAATTTGCATTGACATCCGTGCTCTCTTAAAGAATATCATTAGATCGTAACGTAGCGAGAGACAAAGGTATCGTGTGAATTAATAGAGTCGAAAAATAAGAATGAAAAAGAGGTAGACTTCTTCAGTATAATATTTAAAACTCTCATATAAAATTTTAAAAAATCGTATTTATAAAAAATCTACTTGGCGTTCGGAGCGTCGCAAATACAGCGCGTGAGGTAGCTGGAAATTTCCATTTTTGAATTCTCACGGTCGATTTAAAACGCCTTCCCCCGCCCCTGACCTACCGCATTATATAGCCGCGATACCGACGAATTCTCGAGCAACAGATTGGCCAACAGAATGTCGAACACGATTGCCAATGGGGGTGAGAACGACGAGGTACAAAGAGGCCGCCGCGTCGGCTGAACAACCCCATGGAACATTGAAAGGGGATGGAGTGTAGGGCGGGGACCATTCAATGGCGAATCACGACTCGAATGGAAAACGATATGTGGGGTCTGAGAAAGCTCGAAATACCAGTTGGTAAACGTGTTCGTAAATGACGTTGTATTTGTTAACAATATATTTTTATATATGTTAATCAAATGACACGTTAACAGGACCGTTTTCAATTAAATTATTCTCCTTCGACGAAGTCAATTTAGTCGACTGTATTTAGTTTGTTTCATTTTTTATTTACTTATTACGATACATTTCACGTATTTAAATATTTCTTTACTACAGTTGTATAGGTGCACGAATATTATGGGATCGTTTAATTTTTGACGCAATAATCCTACGAAATAATTTCCTACGAAACTTGTTTGATATATCCGCGTCGAAAATTGTTGGTGTAGTGGGTATTTTTACTTATGGGGTTAAATTGTTTGATACTCGTTCTGACAGTAGTTTGTTTTTTTTTTTTCCAGGACGATTTCCCAGAAAGACGTTAATTTTCATAAGAAGCGTCACTTATTCCACTGCAGCGAGTTTTTCGTCGCAGTAACCAGGACAGATGTATCGGTAACGGCAAAGCTGATAGGTGTGACGACCTCCCAGGTTTAAGCCGCACCCTCACGAGGGAAAACTAGGGGCGGCGTCGTCACCGATCCTCTGCGTGTGCGATCGCAGAGAATCGTAAGTATTATATTATATTATCCTACGATATTTCGCTCCATTTTGTCGCAATGTTCTCTCCTCTGTAATGTTAACGAAATTTTTACAGATTTAATTCAGTCTATCAATTTAGTTTGATAATTTTATAAATTTAATTCAATCTATACGATACTCAATAATGGAAAACTTCAATAATAAATTACTATTATAGACTAGTTATTGGAAATTACTATGATTATTAATTATTGTACGTGTAAACAAATTTGCTCTAAATCTTCGTCATATAAAGAGCAACAATTACTGTACGACGTAAAAATTTATGCTACTTCATTTAATGCTGCTGTATTATGCAGCATAAATCTACCACGTGGAACAAAATGGAATAAAAAATACATAACGCGAATTCAAGTAAGTAATATATATACATAATGTACATACATAATACGGGTATATTATAGTAATCAAGCTTATTATATTTCAGTAGAACATATCTGCATTTGCATAATTTGCCTATTTTAAGAACGAATTGACTTCGATTATGGTACAAGTGGCACGAGTTCGTTTATTTGTAAGTAAGTAACGTCAAAATATGCGCATCTAAAAGATTATATTATATAATAATTTATAATTTATTTCTGATTATAATAATTTACTTCCGATTTTTGTTCATCCAGAGTATGTGAGGATTAAATTAATTCATATTAAAAATTCTAACGTGGAATATTGAATTAATGGTACGGAACAAACTTTTAATTCAAAAAGAAACTGAGCTTTCTTACAAATCTGTTTTTTAGTTGATACTACAAAAATTTTAATTTACAAGTACACAGATAAATCGCTTAATTATCATTTAATTTATTTTTTGAACTATAAAGGACATGTCTACATATTTACGAGCGTATTAATTTGAAATAACGATCCACTAATTCTTTAAATAAAGGTATGTACTTCGGAAAATAATATAGTATCAAAAAATTTCGACTATCATAACTCTACCACTTCTGATCAATTTTAATTTCTTCAAAATTAATCACGAAAATCGCACATATAAAGATTGCTCCATTAATCAGATTTATTTTATGGTTGCTGTAGATATATTAACAACATTAACATGTGTTATAAATGAGAAAAAACAACGCAAGAGTATCCTTCCCTCCAAAAACCTAATGAACATTTCGTTACACTCACGTGTCCGAGCAAAAAGATAAATAGTAAGTAGTAGAGCGTAAAATTGATCAGGCAATAGAGCGATCAAATTAATAACGCCCGCACCATCATACTTCACACAATTTTGTTCCAATTTTCACTTCAACCTTCAATATTGGATCTCAATTCTTAACTACATTTTCTCTTTTCTTTCTTTTTCGTCGCATAATGTATTTTCATTCATTGTCCAACATCGACGACAGTGTCGCGCGGAGTCGAGAGATCGTGCACGAGCGTTACGAAGCGGCGTGTCCCCTCGTGAGAGTGAAAAAGGGGGCAGGGCACAAATCATCGTCGGCTTAAGCAGACGTGGAAGCGGGCATAAAACGGCCAGAGCGAAAAACACACAAAACCAGTTCAACGCGGGGCACCATGGCTGCTCCCCCTTAATGGCGGTGCAGCTCCCCGTGGAACCCGTGTACTGGATCCTCCACAGCCGACCAATAGGGTGGCCCGCGATACTTCGAACAATGGCACGCTCGGATAGATTAATCAAACTTAACCGAGCCAATGAAAGCCGTGCAAATCTCGCGTGGGGAATGCAATGGATAGACGCTCGCCGGTTTGCGACGTTGGTTGGGACAACGCGCAGAGAAAAGCTTGAATCTCTCTCTCTCTCTCTCTCTCTCTCTCTCTCTCTGTCGAGCGTCGTTGCATCGTGGAGAACCATGGGGAGAGAGACACGCTATGGGAACGCGTGGTGTTGCGAATTTAACGACGCTTAACGACGTCGCCATCGACCGTTCGATCATTGGACGGCTAGGATTTTTCGTGGCTCGCATGGGCCACGAGTTTCTTTCGAAAGGGATGCGAGAACGGGGGTTGCTTGTGTAACTGTATTTTTTTGGAATAGCTTATTCGAATTTTTTTTACTACGAGATTGTCGCGTTTAGGCGAGCACTATGTGGTATGATTTAGGGGATATTGAATGTAACAGAATCGTGCGAAGTCTAGTCACGGTAGAACCCTGTTTATATGCAATCCATTTTATATAGCAGAGATGAGTCTTTGTTCGAACCTTTATTTCTTGAGTTATTTTGATACGCGTTCAAATGTCATGTAGAGGAAAATAGAATAGAAGGTACTATTACTAGTATAACTGTGAAATGTAACTATAGATGACGATCTCAACGATCATTCGTTTATGTGAATTCTTGTTATTATTGAACATCAATTGCACAGACTTCACACAAAGGGAGCTCCGCTTTGAATCCAAACCTTCAAACATTCTTCCAAACTCTCAGAACGAATACTCGTTCTCAAACATATTCAAATTAAGAAACACCTTTATATGCAAAAAAATTATTTCACATTTTCTCACCGACTTCAACTTCAATTCGTGATGATATTTCTAATTAATGGTTCAAACAATCCTCCAGAGCTCTGGTCATGCTAGAAACTTGCAAAACCTTCCGAAACGTTCAAAGTTCCAGGCGGCAAAAATAGACCCGACAGAGCTCTGCGAAAGCCGAAGAATCGTCGGTGTACGGGACCGGGAAGAGAGCAGAACACGGTCGAGAGGAAAACACGGGA